TGTATATATATAGTGGTGGTGGGGCTAACATACGGTGGGGCCAGGAAAGGCGGGGTCAGAACCTCACAGTTTGATAAAATCACTGAAGCTGAAATAAAAACTTGTCAAATAACAATATTAAACACACAATCATAAAATAAATCAGCAAAATCACATAAAACGAGTCAAAGCTTTGATTTTATAGATCAGCCGTTACTCTGGAGCCGACGCATTAAAGAATCTGTAACGCGTATATTTAACGGTTACAAACATTTGATGACGAAGCTTCACTGTTCAGAAGAAAGTTCTGCTCTGGCTTTCAACAGGTTCTTACTCTGAGGATGTCGGCAGCCAACGAGCCTTTTCCCGGGCCCAGTTCCACCAGCTGCAGCCGTTTGGGTCGACCCGCTCCCATCCACTCGCTCAGGATCCAAACCGCCAGCAGCTGCAGAACCACAGAGAAACTTTCAGGGCAGTGCGTTAACAAGCGTCCCTCTGCAGCAGGTAGGGGAGGAGCCTAACCTCTCCAAACACCTGGCTGATTTCAGGTGAGGTGATGAAATCTCCATCTGGACCCAACATGTCGTTCCTCACATAATAACCCTGCAGCAGAACCAAATGGACCGAGCCACAGAATTAGAATGGAAATAATCCGACAGTGAACATAAAGTGAGGCTTTGAGCCGTAGACCAGGTCTGGTTCTGAAACAGATTCGACTCAGACCTGGTCTAGGGGGTCACATACCATCACAGGGTTGGTCAGAACCTCCTTCATGTACTCGGCCACAGAAATCGGACCTGTGGCTCTGATTTTGGAGCTCAGGTGTTTGAGCAGGGACGGTCGGTGATCTCTGTCTGATGAAGACCTGCAGCAGGTCCTGGACTGAGGTGGTCTCCATCTTGCTGTGAGACACACATTAGAAGCAGAGGTCACGTGTTATTGTTTAACCCTTCCTCTGACCTTCTCCACGAAACGTTCAGATTTCTGCTACTTTTGAACAGAAATATAAATGATTTGCTCTGGGTGTAAATGTTAGATGGTGGTTCGGTCTGTGGCCCCGGATGATGAACGTACCTGCGGCAGGTGGGCTGACATGTTGGAGGAAGACTCTGCAGATCCTCATCATCATCACCAGAGACCCGAGATCGGTTCCGGTCGTCTCTTTACGACTTCATTACCGGCAGAAAAGAGAAGAGACTGCGGTCACACTGAAGCTGGAGCTCCGTCTGAGAACAATAAAGATGTTAAAGTCTTTATTTTAACTTGAAAACCTTTTACAAACTTAAAAGTTACAGCGTTCTTCAGCGAACAAGCTAAGCGCTAAAGCTAACCGGAAACTGTTCTTCTTCGACGGTTTAATGTGGAACTCGCGCTCTCTGCAGCGTCCCCTCAGTGCGGACTGAACATAGACATTAATACATATTAATGTCTATGAGATGTATTAATATAAGATATATTAATGCCATTAATGTTATTAATATGTATTAATGTCTCATAGACATTAATACATATTATTGTTTCATAGATATCCTGATGCATGCTCAATAATCCAGGTAGAAACATCTAAAAAAGTTCAATCTGGTCCTCTGAACATTAAAAAAAAAAAAAGTAGAACGTTTCATCTTCCATCCGAGAGACTTCCTCAGTCTGAGGTGCTGTTTTCAGCTCAGTCTCTTAAATAGCACCTTCTCAGAGTGGATCAACCAGTTTGCTGCTGACAACCAGAACCAGCTGATCACATGCTCAAGAAGGACCATCAGCCTAACAATGGATCATTAGCACCTGATGGCTGTTTACTGTTCACAGAGGGCTGAGTGATACTAGCAATCACAGCATTGTAAGAGGGGGACAGTTGAACCTGGAGGCTCCACCCCTGTTTAATGATGGACGATTTCTTTTCACAAAGATGGCCTCCTTTACTCCTCTCTCAAACCATCGTTCCTCTCTGTCCAGGATGTGAACATCTTCATCCCTGAAAGAGTGACCTCTGGCCTGGAGATGAGTGTAGACCGCAGAGTCCTGGTCTGATGATGTTGATTTTCTGTGCTGGTCCATCCTTTTGGCCAGTGGCTGTTTAGTTTCCCCGATGTAAGACTGATCACCCTCCTGACACTGAACAGCATACACAATATTACTCTGTTTGTGCCGGGGGACTAGATCAGACCACACTTCAGCAAGTGTTGGACTGTACAGATCAGGCACACTTAGCACAGCATGTCAAGTCCAAGACTCGGCAACAAAATAAGTTTAACTTACTAATAACTCATCGACACCATCACTATTCCAATAACAACACATTCAGTGTAGGACAACACTCCAGTAGTCAGTTACATGCCAGGGAGACAGAGAAGTGGGTGAAGAATTTATCTGACAGACAGCTCACCCAGCCAGAGACAGAGATTCTTGCCAGGGGACTGAACTTTGCGGTTGCACCAAGTAGAATTCCTCTGGTGGAGATGATCACAGCCACAGAATCAGCCATCCGCAACAACAAAATGAATGAGGGTGAAGCAGAACAGCTCAGAATCAAAGTTTCATCCTGCCTCAGCAATGCCAAACCACCACCTTCCAACATCAGTAGAGAGGAGAGGGATGCACTCACCACTCTTAGCAAGGACAAAAACATCTTCATTCTCCCAGCAGACAAAGGAAGGTGCACAGTGATTTTGAACCAGAAAGACTATCATGAGAAAGTTATGACACTCCTTAGCGACTTAAACACTTATGAACCTCTGAAAAGAGATCCAGGAAGTGGTTACAAGAAGAAATTGATAGATTGCCTGAAAATTTTGGAGCAGGACAAGGCTATTGACCGTATTCTGTACCACAGACTGTACCCAGGGGAGGCCACACCTACTCTGTATGGTTTACCTAAAATCCACAAACAAGGTGTACCTTTAAGACCAATTGTTAGCATGATTAACTCTGTCACTTACAATGTTTCCAAATATCTGGCGTCTGTACTCATCCCTTTAGTTGGCAGCTCAGAACACCACATACAGAACACCATGGACTTTGTGGATAAGGTGAGGGATGTCATCGTGGAGACTGATGAAACAATGGTCTCTTTTGATGTCACATCACTCTTTACGTGCATTCCTGTTGATGATGCAGTAGAGGTGGTCAGTTTAAGATTAAAATCAGACACCACTCTGAGCAGCAGGACCACGCTTTCCACAGAACAACTGTGTCAACTCTTGAAACTGTGCCTGCAGTCAACCTAGTTCACATATGGGGAGCAATATTATAGGCAGAAACATGGGTGTGCTATGGGGTCTCCAGTTTCTCCTATTGTTGCCAACCTGTACATGGAGGAGGTAGAAAAGAGAGCCTTGACGTCCTTTTCAGGGACACCACCAAGTCATTGGTTCAGGTATGTTGACGACACCTGGGTTAAAATCAAATCTCAGGAAGTCCAACATTTTACTGACCACATCATCTCTGTGGATAAATACATCAAGTTCACACGAGAAGATGTAAAAAATGGCAGGTTGGCTTTCTTGGACTGTGAGGTCTCAGTCTCTGATAGAGGACATTTGCACACTGAGGTGTACCGCAAACCCACCCACACAGACCAGTATTTGCAGTTTGACTCCCATCACCCTTTGGAGCACAAGTTAGGAGTCATCAGGACTCTGTACCACAGAGCAGACAGCGTCCCCACTAGCTCAGGAGCCAGGCAGAAGGAGAAATCCCACACAAGACAGGCTCTAGAGCAATGTGGATATCCTAACTGGGCCTTCCTGAAAGCAGAGAAGAAACCCAAACAGGACTCCAGTCAGCCATCAGGTGAAAAGGAGGAACCCAGACCAGTGGTCATTCCATATGTTGAGGGAGTATCAGAGAAACTGAGACGTTTATTTTCTAAACATAACGTCCCAGTGGCTTTTAAACCCCAAAATACATTAAAGACTGGTTCATCCCAAAGATCCAGTCCCCCGGCACAAACAGAGTAATATTGTGTATGTTGTTCAGTGTCAGGAGGGTGATCAGTCTTACATCGGGGAAACTAAACAGCCACTGGCCAAAAGGATGGACCAGCACAGAAGATCAACATCATCAGGCCAGGACTCTGAGGTCTACACTCATCTCCAGGCCAGAGGTCACTCTTTCAGGGATGAAGATGTTCACATCCTGGACAGAGAGGAACGATGGTTTGAGAGAGGAGTAAAGGAGGCCATCTTTGTGAAAAGAAATCGTCCATCATTAAACAGGGGTGGAGCCTCCAGGTTCAACTGTCCCCCTCTTACAATGCTGTGATTGCTAGTATCACTCAGCCCTCTGTGAACAGTAAACAGCCATCAGGTGCTAATGATCCATTGTTAGGCTGATGGTCCTTCTTGAGCATGTGATCAGCTGGTTCTGGTTGTCAGCAGCAAACTGGTTGATCCACTCTGAGAAGGTGCTATTTAAGAGACTGAGCTGAATACAGCACCTCAGACTGAGGAAGTCCTCAGGATGAGAGACGAAACGTTTCTACTTTTTGTTTTGAATGTCCAGAGGACCAGATTGAATTTTTTAGAAATGTCTCATAGACATTAATATATCATATATTTATTAATACATCTCATAGACAATGAGACATTAATACGTATTAATGTCTCATTGTCTATGAGATGTATTAATAAATATATGATATATTAATGTCTCAGACATTAATATATCATATATATAAATTGAATATCTCTCTCTTTGTTTTGTAGATTTTTGTTTTAATTCTGGAGTTTTCAGTTTGAGACTTGGTCGACTTGTGATTATTGTTAATTTTTATTTATTTTATTTTACAAAACTGGACAATAAACACTGAACTGTTTAACCCTTTTAAAATCTGGGTTTTAATGTTACTGCTCCTTCCCCCTGGCTGAGCCGGGTCATAACAATGTTGGATTAAATTAAGACCTTTGAACAAGTAGTGCCTACTGCTCTCTGCAGACGGTGTGTTTGGTGAGTCCAGGGCCCCCACCAGACTGCCACCCAGTGTAGCTGCAACCTGAAAACACTCAACAGCTGTCAAGAACAAGATCACACAAAAACAGAAAATGCAGGAAGGCTCAAAAAATCAAAGCGGACAGAGAGAAAAATGGTAAGTGACCGCTTGAAATTGACACAAATTCATTTTTTCATTCATTCAACCTTTATTTCTACAGGTTAGTCCCGTTGAACCTCGAGGACTCATTTAAAGAGTGACCTGATTTAACAAAGAATGATGACAACAGTGGATAATCATAAATGATTCATACAAATTTAAGTTTTTTTTATTTATTTTGTACAATTTAAAACAAAATAATAATTAAGAGAAAGAAACAGTGAAAAAACAGCTAGATTAAAAGGCGATGTAGAAAACTAACAACAGGAACATGTCTGCATTGGTTTCAGCCATCATCTTATCAGATGTTTTGAAGCCACTTAGAGAGGTCAAAGGTCGAGAGCTTCAGATGTTTTTACAAGATATTCCAGGAAACAGGAGCGGAGTAGGAGAAGGTCCTTTTGTCTAGTTCAGTCCTCACTGAGGGAACACTGCAGGTAATGATGTCCTGAGAGCGCACGCTGTAGCTGCACTCACGCAGAGACATGTAGGAGGAGATGTATGAAGGCAGCAGACCAAGAAGTGATTTAAAGATGAAGATGTACCAGTGGGAGAGTCTGTGTGATGTTAATGGTGACCAGTTAACCAGTGAATACTGGGTGCAGTGGTGGGTACGATAATCACAGCCAGTTATGAATCTTAGTGCACCATGATAGACGGCATTCAACATCTGCAGCATTCAACATCTGCAGCATTCAACATCTGCAGCATCCAACATCTGCAGCATCCAACATCTGCAGGGTTCTTGTAGGAGCGTTCATGTACAAACTGGATTCCAAAAAAGTTGGGACACTAAACAAATTGTGAATAAAAACTGAATGCAATGATGTGGAGATGGCAAATGTTAATATTTTATTCGTAATATAACATAGATGACAGATCAAAAGTTTAATCTGAGTAAATGTAACATTTTAAAGGAAAAATATGTTGATTCAAAATTTCACAGTGTCAACAAATCCAAAAAAGTTGGGACAAGTAGCAATAAGTGGCTGGAAAAAGGAAATTGAGCATATAACGAACAGCTGGAAGACCAATTAACACTAATTAGGTCAATTGACAACATGATTGGGTATAAAAAGAGCTTCTCAGAGTGTCAGTGTCTCTCAGAAGCCAAGATGGTAAGAGGATCACCAATTCCACCATTGTTGCACAGAAAGATAGTGCAGCAATTCCAGAATGGTGTTACCCAGCGTAAAATAGCAAAGACTTTTAAGTTATTGTGGTGGTACCAAGTGGTTCTCATTAAAATTATGTGATTTACAAGGCACACC